CCCCTGTCCCCTATGTATAATTATTCTACATTCCTCATAAAATTCCAAAATACAGCACAAAAGCAACATACAGGGATAATATTAAACCCTAAAGAAACGATCAAGAAAGCATCAATGTCATTAATGTGTAAAGTTCTGCACTTGGTCCAGGATCTGCCATATGGAACATACATGAAACAGATGATCTATAATTGTCTCATCACCAATCCATATGTATCTGTTTTTAGACAGACCAAGCCCATACTGCCACCTGCTGGCTGAGTAGCACACCGCAGCACATCACAGGAGGAACTTCCGACCACCTGCCATGGAATGTCAAAGTCCTGACTCACCTGGCCACAGGAGGCCGGCCAAAGCAGCAGCATTAAGGAGAAGGCTGAGCGGCAGCATGGTGCGGTACACAGCCAGGGAGCCCCACGATGGGCTGCACTTAAGCCCCGCCTCCTTAAACATGCATCACTGCCGCGCTGAGCTGCTGGATTGGGCTCTCCGGCACTGACCCACGCTTCACCAGATGACACCTTGGACCTGGACACTGATTCTTCTCACAACCAAAACCAGACTAACTTTCCTCTGGTTAAGAAGTAATGCAAGGAGAATGAACACTGGATTCCTAGAAGGCATTCTTCTTTGACATGGAATGTTTACACCCCCCACATTTCAAAAACTTTCTCTGGTCCTGGAACCGTAGCTATTCCAAAGGCAGGCTTCTGGCATTAGCCATTCTCAAGCTGCCGTGTAAACACTCACACACACACTCACACAGACACACACACACACACAGACACACACACTCACACACACACAGACACACACACACACACACACACTCACACACACAGACACACGCACACACACACACACAAACACACACACACAGACTCGGTTTTTGCTTCTTTCATGACCTGACGTTCTGAAAAGAATCCAACTTTTGTGAACATTACAAACAAGCTCCCTGTCAGTATCCAGTCCAGCCCGGCTCTGTTGCGACACTCATAGGATCGCACCGCCTTTGGCAAAGCCTCGGAAGTCCCTGGAATCTATCCAGGCCTTTTTTTTTTATTTCAGCTTTAAGACACAATCAGTTTTGACAACCCAGTGGTTTGAGATCCAGAAGGACCTACGAGTTAGTATTCAGAACACTGACAAGCCTTCCCCTCACCCCCGGCCGAGAGCTGGTAGCGAGAGGCATACCCTCCGTTACTGAAGGAATGAGAACAGTAAGGAGTGATGGATAAGAGGGTCAAAGATGGGGTGATCTACTGCTTCAGTTTCTCAGGAAGCTGCTCTTCGGATCCACACAGCTTTGCTCTGATTCTTCCCAGCTTTGACAGAGACCATTTACCCCACTCCAGCAAACATACACAAGGATTCAGAAGAGCTTCCACACATTTTGGCATGAGGCTACTTTTTTAAATAGCTGTTTACTTACTTTTTGGTATATGTGACCCACCATCGATCCCATCCAGGGTGTACCCAAGCCTTGTCCCCTATGCTGACTGGGAGAGACTCCAGCCCAACTATAATCCAGCTCAAGATAAGCTATTGTTATTTGGATGAATGATCAAGCATGTCCTTTTCACCAAGCCCGGACAGAAAAAATGAGCTGAGACACCTTAGCCCTCTTGATACCGTCGTTCTGTGTAGCTTTCAGTGAAATGAAGGCAGGCCTGTGTAAACTTAGGAGGCCTACCTGACTCAGGTGTCAAGACCGCTTGGCCGGCAGGTGGACCCCGCCCGCTGCTGGTGGCTGCTGACACCTGGATGGTGTAGCTGTTATAGGGCTGAAGATCGTGTACCTCCACGCTGATGGGCACACTCCAGGGGGACGGAGGCGTCAGAAATGCGGGCGGATTGGCGATGGAGGCCAGGCGAGTGTCCATGGAGCTGGCAGTGCTGTTAGACAACATGTCCACTGTGTCCTACAGGTGGACACACAGAAACACATGCACATATGAATGGAGAATGCTTCTATTTACACAGGTTAAGTAATGTTATACAGCATTGTGCAAAGGAGGCTAGAAGAACTGAGTAACGATATAAAGCAACACTAAGATGCTGTGTACTATGGGGACTAAATTAAGCACTTGAAAATGATATATTTTTAAGATGAAGATTCCCGGCATTATCACTCACGTTGCAGTAAGAAAGAGTATTAGCCAAGAAATCTTCTGCATTTATCTCCTGACTCCGAACAGTTGTGTTAGATTCTCCATGAATGGTTTCGAGGATGAACTTGGTGATCAGCCCGTTGGTGTTCCTGGGCAGGAACCACGTTGCCCTGATGGATGACCGACTCGAGGCGAAGGCCGTGAGGTTGGTCACAGCGTGGGGGGCTGAGGTGACAGAGGCATAAAGGCCTGAGTGACTTGGATGCTTATTTACTGCACTGACATGAACGGACAGGAGAACAGAGACCCTCACCTGCTTCTTCTGTTGTAATAATCAGTGGCTCACTGAAGAGTCCAGAGTCAGCACTGTTCTCTGCTGCCACCTAGAGAGAAAGAAAGCAAAATTCCATCTGCTTCATCATAACCAAAACACATAACCCGTGTGTCCTTATGGGAAAGAAGGGTACCACCAGGAAACAAACACACAGACAAGTTTTGGTCCTCATATCTGTTATAAGAAAACAATACTAATTTCAAATGAAGGTAGCCTGTGACCATGAACAAGATAAGCAGTTGGATGGATGGATGGATATACCCATTTAATTCTTAATTTATAACCATGCCCATCCATCCATCTATCCATGCATTCACCTATTTTCTGTAACCACGTTCTGTAACGACACGGGGAGAACATGCAAACTCCACACCCATGGAACCACGGCGGAGACCCGAACGGTGCCACCATGCTGCCCCGTTATAATAATGTGTAACAGGAATTTCATTTAATCTATAAAACAAGCAAACAATTGCTGTTAAAATTAAATTTAAAGAAATAAAATGATAAATTCACAATATTTTTAATTATAAATTAGTACTCCATATTTGACAAATGTTTCAAAATATTAAAAAACCAATTAAGTGTCACAAGTTAATGATGCATCAGTGGGACATCAGGTCTTGTCTTTTGACTTTAAATTAAGCAGTAAAATTTTAGGGAGTCTTGGAAACTCCTCACCAGGGAATACCGAGGCCTCCCCAGGCCAGACCAGAGATATAATCTCTCCAGCATGTCCTGGGTCTGCCCCAGGGCCTCCTCCTGGTTGGACATTCCCGAAACACCTCCCCAGGGAGCCATCCTGGAAGTATCCTAGATAGATGCCTGAACCACCATGACCGGCTCCTTTCGATCCAGAGGGGCAGCGGCTCTGCTTTGATCTCCTCGCCTGATCTCTAAGGCTGAGCCCAGACACCCTGCAGAGGAAGCTGATTTCTGCCGCTTGTATCCAAAATCTTTTGGTCACTACCCAGAGCTCGTGACCATAGGTGAGGGTAGGAACGTAGATCGACTGGTAAATCGAAAGCTTCGCCTTCCAGCTCAGCTCCCTCTTACTCTATTACTGCCGACGCTGCACCAATCTGCTTGTCGATCTCCTGCTCCCTTATTCCCTAACTCGCGAACACTTATATTGATAAGAGGCTAACTAACACACCCAGAGTCATCCTACCTGGATGATGTAGGTGGATCCAGGGTTTAGGCCGCCAAGGAGGAATTCTGGGACATCTGACCCGGTCCGAATCGGAGTAGCACTGAACGTGGGCCAGGGACAGACCTCCCTGTACTCAATGATGTAGGACTGGATCATACCATTGGTCTCGTTGGGCGTGGTCCAGGACAGATGGAGGAACGTGGAACCTAGCTCATCCACCCGAAGGCCAGTGGGCGCACCCGGAACTTCATGGAGGTAAAGACACAGTCAGGCGAGATTGACTCAACCATATTACGTGACTGACATATTAACGAAGATTAACTCAATTGTTATAATAGACATTTGGTATAAAAATTTAGACTGAACCTCCTGTCAGTTAACCTGGAGGGTAAAAAATTGATAGAAAAGACTGACAGAGAGTAAGAACGAGGAATCAATCAATGCAGAAAAAGCAATACACTAACATTAGGAAACTAATGCTGGTCTTACATTTGAGGACCCAGCTGACAAAATTTCTGACTAGACCATACTAGGAACATTTATTAAAAAAAAAGATAATACTTTACTTAAAGCACTCTTGTATAATGCATTATATATACCTTCATAATGCATTATAATGCCTTATACTGACCATCTATAGTGCATTATAGAAGAGAGCTTCATAGAGCAGTAATAATGCATAATACACATGACTATAAAGTGATATGCCTTTTCAATAATAGTTATAGCGGTGTTTATAATACTTTATGAATGCATTATGAAGGTATCTATAATGCATTATGACGACTGCTTTAAGTATAACCAAACAAATTTGCTAGATATTGCTGTATTAGTATTAGTAGTATTATTATTTTTCTCATTATCATTGTGTTGTTGCTATAGTTATTTTTATTACAATCCCAAATTAAACTCTATTTTAATTTATGAGTTTTAGCTTTGTGGGTGATTAAAATACTAATTACCCCTTCATATCTTTTGTCCATGTTTTTCATACGATACTTTTAAAAGGTTTGCCTGGAATAACATTAAGCAGGCGGTCATTTGGAAGCACTTGGGAGACCACATTGAGCACAATGCGAACAAGCCACACCACATGATGTGAGCTTACACGTCTCATTGGTGGTGATGGATACGACCACGGGGGAACTGAAGGCGGAGGAAGAGGCTACCGCGGTGACCGCCGCCGTGTATGACGATCCCGGAGCGAGGGTCGACACATCCGCCTTCCAAACACAAAACACAGGAATAAGAAACACAGAAACTGGATTCCAATCCACACAACTGAGGTTAAAAATCCAGGCATTTTTCTTGACTCTGAACTTACATTCAAACCACACACTGACAATGTCGTGAAGACTAGCTTGTGTAAGACCATTTCTTAACCTGGAAGATGCTAAGAAGCTGACTCGTGCTTTTTTCTCACGCATAGACTATTGTAAGGCACTTTTCAGAGGACCATCTAAAAAGACAACAGAAAGATTACAACTTGTCCAAAATGCAGCAGTAAGAGCACTTACTCGCACTAGAAGAGCATATTACCCGAATCTTAGCAAGACTCCACTGGTTACCCGTTTCTTTTAGAATTGTATTAAAAATACTTTTAATAGTATTTAAAGCTTTGAATGGACAAGCACCTTCATATATTTCAGTGTCTCACTAAATATGTTCCAAAAAGGTCCTTAAGATCATCAAGTGCCTGCGAGAAATGAGAAGCACCTTTCTGATATTCATCAGGCCTTTTCTCTTAGTATGTTTAAAAAGCAGCTGCAAACATACTTTTTACCCTGGATTTTAGATAATTATCACTGTGTTATAGTCGTGTGTCTGTGTGTGTGCGTGTGTGTGTGTATACATACACACTTTATCTTAATATTATTTCTTAATGTTTTTCTTCTTATTTTATTCTTATCTTGATTCTATTTTGTTCTATTTTGTTTTTATTCTTTTTATTTTATTATTTGTTATTTACAGTCTCTGTAAAGCACTCTGAGCTGCATTCAGTTGTATGAAAGGCGCTATATAAATAAAGCTATTATTATTATTAGGTTTATTATTACAAGCAGCTGAACACACCTGCACTAAACAATGGAGTTCGATTCGCATCTCATTTCCTATCACTGTAAATCACATCTTCTCTATTTTGATGACTTAAAATCAAGCGATCGACATACCTGCACAAAGACACAATCCAGGCAAAAAGCAATGAGAAGGAAGCCGGCAGCAGGCATCACTGGGGGGTTATTAGTCGCATAAGTCTGATATTCTGGGCTGCCCCCCGATACAGAGGCGAGGTAGAAGAGGTGGGCCTCATCAAACATTTATACGTGGCTCTACTTCAGGTAATAAGTAATGAGCCCATTGGCGGCCGCTGTTCACTACTGTTACTTGGAGTGCCACCTGACACCCGGAGGGGGGGTGTGTTTGGGGGGGAGGGGGGTTAAAAGACCACGGTGTTCCTAAAATGGCTGGTTGCCTTTGGCTAGAAAGGTCTGGAATACAAATAGAGGGGCTTGCTGCTCTCTCTCAGACCAGGTAACTACATTGAATGGGGGGTGGGGGTGCCTATTAAATTGAGCTTTAGTGGCTGATAAGATCGGACAGGGTTTTCTGTTCATCAGAGGAGGCTTATAGTTTGGCTATGGAGTGTAACCAAGAGGGACTTTTTCTGGAAGCTTCTATGAAACGCATGACCAGACTGCTGAGGTCATCAGGACATTGTTCTGACCCTCAGCCACAGAAGGACAGGGACTTCACCTGCACCTCCCCGTCCTGCGGGCTGCTGAGCACCACAACACCTCGTCTGGGGAGCACATCCACCCGGTGTCCGTCCGCACATCCAGTCGGCACAGCCCAGCGCAGAGAGAAGCTTCGGGGTGAGATGCCAGTCACACGCACTGCCTGTGGGCGCCCGGGCTCTGAGTCCCAAAATACGGACAGTGAGTCACCAACCCAGAACCTACGCTAAAGTGTATGATTACCCCAAAGTAACTTTCTCCCCAGGCATAAGAAAAGTAAGTGCCTGCTTAGGGCCCTGCGGCCACCAGGGGGCACCCCATCTAATCATCATGTCAGAATAGGGAGGAAGATGACTAATGACACCTAGGTTAATCAAATTTAGTTTAGGGCCCCGAATAGGGTTAGGACAGCCCTGTCCCTCCCAAAAGTAATTAAAAATATAGTGTGCTACAGTACAATGAGCTCTGAACCTAAAATGAGTTGAGAGACAAGGCCCCTCACCGGTGAGCACTTTTAGAGAGGCAGGGGTCCCACGGACCCCATTCCCAACCCTGTCCATAGTCACGCTGTAGCTACACCCGTCCAGCAGGCCAGAGACAGTGTACGCCAGGACCTCCTTGGAGATGTGGACCGTGCGGGACGAGGAGGCGTTGGAGACACTGAGCTCGTAATGGTCAAACTGGCCGGCAGCAGACTCCCACGCGATACTGGCGGAGGAGGTGTCGACGCGGGTCAGTGACAGGGAGCAGACCGGCGCCGGACCTGTGACACAGAGGGGGTGTCGTGGGGGCTCTGTCACAATGTCACCTGTCCCCCAGCTCAACCACCCCTTATTTACATAAAAACAAAGACAAATTCAACTGTAAAGCCATTTATTACAGAAAGTTGGTATTTATTTATTGGTAAATGAATAATAATAATAATAATCCTTATTGCCCACAGATGTTGAAATTTGCCTTTGACTTTACGGGTATTTTTTAAAAATGAAAATACAACACTGAAGATTGACAGTATGTGGTTAAAAAGCAGCATAACAAATAGCATTTACAGTATACTCAAAGAAACTCGGTATCGATTCTTACGTTTGACAACTCGCTTTGACACTGTTTTACTGGCCTCAGACCCTTTAAAGGACTGCAGTGTGAATTGATATTCTGTTCCAGGGAATAAGTCCTTTATTCTCATATTGGTTTCATGAAGGATGAATTCATGAATAGGCTTCTTAGCTGCCAATGAGCTGTACTGTACCTGTAAGATCAAGAAAGACAGGGAGACAAGCGAGCAATTTAACATCAGAATCAAGTATTCAAATACTGGCCTGTATTTGAATGCATAAAACACAGTACCAGTCAAAATTCTGGACACAAGATAACGACGTTAAGCAAACCTCAAGGTTATATAAGTACTGCCTGTATTATCCTGGGAAGAAGGGAAGAAATACAGTGTTGTGACAGATGACCTGGGCCCCACAACCCACTGGTTTGGGATGAGTTGGATAAGATAAGAGTAAGGTAGCCAACTTGTGCCCAGACCGTTGGAGAAGCATTCCAGGTGGCTACATACAGTATGGAAGCTGGCTGGAAGAATGCGCAGAGTCTGCAATTCTGTCCTCAAAGCAAAAGGGGACTATTTTAAAGAGTCTAAAATTTGAGAACATTGTGAGATGTTGAAGATGCTGCAATATTTGATATGTATCGCTTCATTGTCTTGAGGTCTTTTACCATAAAGTGAATAATAGCTAAACTACAGACAAATGCATTAAAACCGGATGTGTCCAGACATCTGATTGGTGCTGTAACTATAAAATGGGCAAATTTGTGCTCAGTCATTGACTTAATATGTCACTGTGTGGTCGACAGGTTGCCATCATGTATTTTTAAGTGGCTTGAAACAGGAGCTGCTGTGGCCTGACCATCCTAGGTAATCACCATGGTGATGAGCTTGTTATGAAACTTTAAGCGAGGTGCTGAACAGCCTTCTTCAAAAGGCTGCTTCAGTCAAGCACAGGAAAGTTGTAAATTGAGAAGTGCGCGTGTCAGATGATTACCATCCTCAAACAGAAAGTAACTGTGCCATATGAAAAACATACCACTGCGAGCTATTCACAGCCTGCATTATCGCATGAAGATATTAACGTGCCAAATTTAAGAAGCTCACCTTGTAAGCATCAACAAACCCCCAAGGTGGTCTCCAGGTGACGTACATGGAACCGCCATCCTGGTCCACGAAATCCACAGACTCCGGGACAGCGGGGTCTGTAACACAGGACCCCACCTGATCTCACCACACTACATATTCTCACAGTCATTATCTTTTCATAGTCTGCCACGGGTCACAGAACTGTCAATCATGTCAATCACCAATCATTCATCAGTCACTCGACAGCCAATCGCCAGTCACATTCAAGAATCATCCAAACAAGCTTCAGATAATGTATGTTCTGTTTCCTATTATGTTTCCCTGTTTTCCTAATTGTGTCACAAAGCCTGCATTAGGATGGAGCCTGTTTGACCCTTTTCGTTCCAAAAGGGTGCAGTATAGTGTAACAGCAAACCATTAAGACAGAATTAGTATGACTAGGCCTGCTGACATATACGAAGATAGAAGAAACCACTCACTTGTTGTCACATTGACAATGGCTGGGAGGCTTCTTCTCATTCCACTTGTGCTGATGATAGAAATTCTGTAGGTAGCCCCAGGTAAAAGTCCATCAAACATATGCATTCTGAAAACAGAAAGTTTTGGAAAGATGCAGTCAATTGAGAATTCCAGGGCCAGAGATAAGATACATGGGTAATCCAATGCTTCGCTGTACAGTACCACACAAAGGTTTGGACACACATACGGAAAATCATTTGTGTTTCCACACGATAACCCTAAGCACACCTTGAGGTTATGCAGTAAGTGTTATCTTGAGATGAAGAAAAGAGACGGAGTGTCGTGACAGACGACCTAGCCCCCAAAACCCTCTGACCTAAACCCTATAGAGCTGGTTTGGGATGAGTTGGATCGAAGAGTAAGAGCAAGGTAACCAACTTGTGCCCAGGACTTGTGGAGACTCCATCAGGACTGTTGTGGCTGAAAGAATGGCAAGAGTCTGCAATGCTGTCATCAAAGCAAAGGGGGTCTATTTGAGAAAATTTTGACAGCTGAAGACTTCTCTTGTTTACTGCAATATTTAATCTGTATTACTTCATTGTGTCAAGGCTTTTTATTGTAAGATCAATAACATGAAAACAGAGACAAATCATTAAAAGCAGGTGTGTCCAGACTTTTGACTGGTACTGTACCTCCTTGCTGCTGTCATGAGTCCATGCCTACCTTTGCCCCAAGTCTGCAAGACTTTTCTGTTGGTGAAAGGTTCCGTTCATGATGGACACTATGAAGCCATCAATGACACCTGGAGGCTTGGTCCAGCTGACCGTTACAAACGTCTCATTCTTATTCAAGACCGACATCTCAACTGTACTTGGTGCTGGAGAAGTACAAAGATGCTGCCCCAGTTAAGAACATGTTATATCATAATATAATATAGCATTTTTGGAATTTAGACTAGTAGCAAAGTCACACCTGCTCTTATTTGAAGGAACACCTGCGGGCTGTCTTTGAAGGACTCCTTCTCAGTCCGAACAGAGAAATTATACTCTTTCCCAGGTGTAATGGCAGTGAACACTGCTCTTGCATCTTTGACCTTCTGAGCCTGATATGGGGCAAAGATGTCGGCCAATTATATCCTGATGGCAGCAAGCAGACCCGCGCCCACCTCTGACAGCTCTTACCCAGACGGTGTCGGCACAGTTGGTGCAGATCACTTCGTAGGTCTGCCAGCTCCCCTCCGCTTCGTTCCACAGGATTTCTACAGTCGTGTCAGACACCTTCCCAGCTCGGAGGTTTGTGGGCGGAGCCAGGCCTAGACAAGTCACATGATTATCAATATCAAGGAACTAAAGCATAATCAGCACTCAACTGTGAGAATATAATGATACAATTTAAAACTTGTGTGGGTGTCAAGATACTGACATTATACCATCTATCGGGATAAAAACTCTGGTGATGCTCACATGTTTTGACTCCTTTAACCAGGTATGGCTCGCTGGTCATATTTCCACTGGTGACGTGCACAGCAAACTCATACGCTGTGCCAGGCATCAGGCCCTCTATGGAGATCTTATCATCCCCCCCAGACAGTGCCGTCCACTTGCTGCCCCCTCTGTAGATAACTTGGATGCCATCGAAAATGCCATCGGCTGGCTTTTGGATGTAAAGCAGAGTGGAATAGGCGCTGGATTCGTAAGGGACAGCAATCTGGACCTGCTTGGGCTCTAGTGGGCGGAGTACAAGAACGGTCATGTGACTGAGCTGCTCGAACATTCATTGTGCCAGCAAGCTAAAGTAACAGGGTGGTGTTACTAAATCATTATGCCAGTCATGCATCTTCAGAGGGTACGGGAGGGAGGAACATACTTAATGTCTGAAGGATGCTCTCCCCCATGCTCCTGTTCCCACTCTTCACTGCCACCACGCTGACCTCGTACGTCTCTCCGGGAGTGAGCGCGCTCAGTTCAAAGCTCAGTGATCTGTTTACCCAGAGTTCCCTGGGCCAATCTCCGGTGGTCAGCGGCTGGATAATAATGAAGTACCCATCAGGTTTCACCCCAACTGGTGGGTCCCACCGCACCATCACATTCTCCTCCCCCACGTCATCCGGCCGGATAATCACTCCACCCGGTGGACTGACCGCTGTAAGACAGAACATGTCATTCTTACAAAGCAGTTCTACAGAGTAATGATGGTCATCACAAGTTCAGGGTTAACCATATAGCCCATAAAATTTACTTTAATCGTTACTTGCCAGTGATGACTGAGCAGACCGTGTGGCCACAGCTCTCAACTCCGCGTCCAGTCACGGTCTGAATGCTGACCCGGTACAGGCGGTAAGGCTCCAGACCTTCGATCACTGCTGACGTTGTATGATTGGCCACCAACAGAAACCTCTCTGTATCTGCGTCAACATCCACATAGCGGATCAGGTAGTGGTGGAACTGGGCTTGGTGGGGGTCCATGGGACTGCTCCAGCACACATGAACTTGCCTGGAAGTTACGTTCGTTACTCTGATGTTCTGAGGTGGACTGGGCCCTGAAGATAGAAATGTAGAGAATCACTGAGACCTGTGTCGGACTTTATGGTGCATTATTGACATCGACACAGTCCGCATTTATTGGGCGGTGTGTACATGTGTGAGTGAACTCCTATCAAATTCACTGATGTGCGGAAGAACATTTCCTGTAGGGCAGAAAGAGGGAATCATCTAGATGTCTCGATACTCACTTGTCACAACTGTAAGAGTGGAGCCCAAGACTCTTGTGACTCCGCTGAGGTGAGTCACCCTGAGGGTGAACAGGTACTCATGACCCGGGGACAATCCCTGCACAGTCACTCTGGTCATCTTGAATGACAAGGCCGTCTGGTGGGCCTTGAGGCCAGAGGTCTCATCTCGGTACTGAATGGTGAGCTCATCCACGTCTGTCTCGCTTACCCAGGCCTGCAGGTCACTCCATTTAACAACGGCCTCTGTCTCGCCAACCTCCTCCAACAGGAAGTCAAAGTCTGTCGGTCCGGCTGGTACTGCAAAACATACAGTTCTGTTTATCACGAGGGCAGCACTGCACTTCCAGGTGGCTTCGGGGATTATCTATTCGACGAGGAAAAGCTGGAAACCAATCCGAAGCAGTATAGGAAACAAGGCAGGGGACACCCTGAACAGGTCACCATCCATCACTGAGCACGTCCACACACATAATCACACATCATGAGCAATTGGTCTAACTGGACAGACTATGGATGGAAAACGCAGAGCACGCAGGAAATTGTGGCAAATCAAAAATAGCTCGTTATTTGCACAATTACAGTTTTTCCTCAATTGCTCTGGCACATTTCAAAGCCACCAAAATGAAAAGTACAATCTGCATCATTTTAATCACGAGAGTAAAAATGCTGATATACTGTCAGTCTACTCCTGAGCTCAATAATTCTGAATGATAGTCGGGTTTCACTGACTGATCATTTTTCATTAGCAACCTGATACTTATTAATGTCAAAGACACCAGTTTCAACATTGTAAGGCTCTACATCACTGTATGTAAAGTTCACTGGCAAGAGGAAGCAGTTGCAGGCACATGCAACTTCTTCAGATCTCAAGACACAGTACAATAGCAAACAAAAAAGTCACACAGCACTGTGTAACAAAAAAATAGCAAAATGGCAGTACAAGAGCAAACAAAATGACAACAAAATCATGTAAAGACGCTCCTCTACTTACGAACGAGATACGTTCCGAACGGCCGTTCGTACATTGAAATGTTCGTAAGTCGTTCTTCAACATAACTTTAAGGGTACAAAGAACTATGAGGCTGGGAGTCCGCAAGCTACACTGCTGCAAGGCGAGAGTAACAGCCAGATGTCGTACTAGGCGGAATTGGCGTGCAGAAAAAAAAATTGCTGTCGCGGACAGGAAACGGGAGCCTAATGATCACAATTTGGACTTACAGTCCTCTTCGTTCATATGTCTGAAAGTTCTTAAGTTGAAAGTTTATAAGTAGAGGAGCGTCTGTACTGTGGGAACCAAAAACACAGCAATGGTATATCACTGCAATTTAAGGAACACATTTTTAGATCATTTTGAAAGCTTGGTTAACTGGTGTGTGTGTGGCGGCGAACATCATGATCACATACATATATAGGTTTGAGCGGAAAATTATTACAGTGGGAAACTACATGATCAATTAAGACCAAGAAGACAAAAGCAACTGAGAATAGTGCCAAATGACAACAAGTGTACAAAACAATTAGCATATATGTAGTAAAACATTTGGAAATGTATGTGAAGCAATGAGAAATGATGTTCTGCTGTGCAGAAGTGACATTATGGTGTGGGGATTACACTCGTCGTTTTGCAAATGCTAATTGTCTTTTGGAACTTCTACAACTGCATGCCAAGGTTCAGTTGAAAGGCTTACTTCTGCAGTGACACATGTAGGGCAGGGGCATATAGCAGAAGAATCCAGTGAAGTAGTAGCTGGGGTCCGTGGCATTCAAGTGTAAGGCAAAGCAATCTGTCTGATTGGGCGGCAACGCTGATGTCACAGCACTCTTCAAGCTATATGCAGACCCGTCGGCCCAACGGAGATCTCCTTCCTGCTGTAGGACATGAGTTTTTCACATAAAACAAGAGAAGAGTAAAGATACTGGTTCTTCAACTTGTAGCTGTAACAACTAAAGAGTGTCTGACAAAAAAAATATTTGTCTCTTTGAGCTCTTTGAGAAGACAACACAATCACTTACCTGAATATCATTGAGGCTGGTCCATAGCAGCACTAGATTGAGGCTCTGGAGGAAGGAGGAGACGAACGCCAACTCCTCCTCTGTGTCAGTGTCTAGCAGGTGAGCTCCAGGGGCAGCTACATCACAGGCCTGAGCCGCCTCCTGCCACTGTTTGATCTTCCTCGAGATCAGATAGCAGTTCCTGCCATAGTGAACCCAACCATCTGGGCACTGCGCTGGTGAGGGAGGAGGTGGGGTCAGGTGATGGTTCTCAAAAGCATAATCAGGGCTATTCGGGGATATCAGAGGCCAGACAGACAGACGGACGGACAGACAGACAGACAGATGGATGGACAGACAGACAGACGGACTGACAGACGGATGGACAGACTGATGGGCAGACAGACAGAAGATGGATAGATAGATAGATAGATAGATAGATAGATAGATAGATAGATAGATAGATGCAAAATGGATATGTACAAAAGAACAAATTATCTGTACAATGAGTAATAATAAATACATTATCATTATATATAATAAGTATATATTAATAGATGAATAAAGAGATGGGAATGTGAAAATGTTACAGTGTTACACTCCTCAAGAATACAGTGATGAAAATAAAGTAACACAATACCAACAGCTTGAAGGCAAACAAGCTCTTACTCAGTATATAGAAATGACTTTGGCAATAAACGAGGTTTGAAGGTATTATGACGGCTACCTGTGTGGAGCAGCACCTTTCGCCTCAGCGTCACTGTGACATTACGGTGTTCAGTCAGAGACTGGAATTCCACCGTGAACCTGTGTAATGAGGCCGGCTGGAGACCCTCCACGCGGTATGAGGTTTGACGCCCTGGTACAGCCCAGGAACGTCCAGCGAGACTGAAAATGGTGGCACGTTCAGCAGCCTGAGGACTCCATGTAAACACAGCACTTGTGGAGGTAGATTCTGTCCTAAGGGATAAGCTGGCTGAGGGGTCTACCAAAAAAGAGAGGGGAAAAAATTGCCAATTACAAAATGTAAACGTTAATATATTTGTCCTTAATTGTCAAATGTTGAACCTAAACATATGCGTCAGCTTACCCACACGAACAGACTTTGTATCCAGAACAACATTGTTTTTGACTGATTTCAGAACAATGTCATATGTATCCATGTCCAGCAGGTCACTGATGGCTACGTGACAGCGTGAAGGACACCCACTGACATCGCTTGCATTCCACCAGTGCTGAAAGGGTTTTTGCTTTTTAGTTTCGATTTGGCTGTTTCATTGCAAAATAGAAACTTCATAAACACTAATGCATTTTAGCAATTTTTCCGCATTTTGTTTTCCCAAATTGTGTTTTTGTATCGGTGTTTTACAGAAATGTTAAGATGTGTTTTAACTACTGGTTTGTAATTAGTACGGATAATGGCTAGTACGTTCTTACCCCTTTTTTAGTGCCAGAGGAATAGGTCACGGTATAGTACTCTGGTTCCCCCCGGAGTGGAAAAGGACTGAATTCCAAATAAACATCCACAAAACTTGGTGCTTCAACACAAGCCAATCTGACCATCTGCATGGTCAAAACAAAATATGATAAATAAACATGATTCATTTCCTTATTTGAATTGAGTAATATTTTTCTGAGCACTTGTCAGAAAACTGTTAAGCAATTTGTGCCAATAATTATGTAATATCTGAGTACCAGTAAAGAAACCATATAAAATTAATCAGAAAACTGAATACAGAGCAAAATTCTGGATCTTCAGAAAAACGGGATTCTTTACCTGTAACAAATAATCCGACAGTAGCCAAAAGAGAACCGCTTTGTCCATGGAGAAATTTTCTTTCATGTAAGATGCATATGACAAACGACAATTCCTAAAAATATTTCAATTAACCACACACACAAACACAGAACGAAAACAATGGTCAGATGAAACAAACAAATTAACAATGTAAAAAAAAATAAAAATCTGATATATTTCCGACATACATCGGATCACTTTTTTCTAGTGGGCTGTTGCTTTCATGTAAATACTTAAATGCCTGCTTTATTCTGCTTTGGAAACGCACATCACTGCCTACCTTCACTCCCTAAAGTCCGTGAAAGTTTTCAATTCCGCGCGCTCTTCTCCGGCGCGAGCCTGCAGTGATTGTCACCCCCGCCGGGAATTACTTGCGCGGACGGATCCTCGCTTCCCCATTCAGATGTACGAAATGTGCTTCCCCCAGCCCTTCTCTCCAATTTGTTCTGGCCATTGCTGCCCTTTTCCCTTTGTTATACTTTAAGAGGGTCGTCATGGCGACCGAGGCATCCAGCCACTCCGATCCGGACTCCCGAATAGCCGGGGAGCGGAGGCGTGGCGGCGCCGGGGGCGTTCAGATGTAGCGGGTCCCTGTCGCCTGTGTGCGGCGATGCACTGAATCCGTGGCTCACTCACATTTACTCCGGAGCTGGAGAGTGAAGAAATGTCACATTGTCATATTCATGGCCGTGCTTTTGCCTTCGACAATATAGGGATTAGATAACTGTACCGCGATTAGTGCATTGAGACGATCTTGCTTTATTGCTCATTACAAACAGGCACTTCCACATCCTTTCATGGATTCACAATCTCTTCCACTTTCGCTGGACTGTGCTGCAGTATGTTCTCATTAGTTTACGTAACTTTTTCTAGTAGTCTGGGTTTATATGTAATATTTAAAATACAAATTTTTATTATTTCTGTGTATACAGAAAAGTATTCCAACAAACTCCGGGTTATAGCAAAAAGCCTTCGTCAGCAGCACAGCTTAATAAACCCAATGTTGACGTTGCTGGTGGAGTAGTTTATGCTGCTGCCAAATCTGGCTTGTCAGCAGTTGCTGTGTCAGGATCAGTAGCGAAGGTCACGTTGTCTCCTTAATTCCAGAAGCAATTATCCAAATGTACAGCAAAGACGTGGATAAACATCTGCTTCTCCAACACTAACGTTTCACTTACACTTCTTCCCATGACCGGTCAAATCTATGAATTAAACGTCACATGCCTGAACATATAGAAAGAAGACCCTCTTTGAAATGGCGATGCAAAAAAAGTCAGACTCAGGCGGCTATTTCTATGCACCGTCTTGCGTGCGCTAGAATAAGAGACTTTCCTCTGACTCATCAGTACTCCAGAAGGAGGAGGATCGGTCCTTAGACGTTTTTTAATTACCTGTAGCAGCACAATGCAAATTCAGCGGGAAAACCGCAGTGCTGCCCGCCCATCTGTCGTGGGAAACTACTTGAGGGGCATTTTTGAGCTGCCCGGGTTTATGTTTTTAAAAGTACCTCGCAGAGCTGATCTTTCGACATCATTTGGTTTACCATTCTTTGAAACTCTTATTGATTAAAAATATGCTTTTATCCAAAGTGTCACAAAGCCTTCCAGAATCTAACATAGACAAGACCTATCATTTTCATAGCTCTCGATAATGTTTTAGTCATTGGCTGCTAGATGTAGTGTCACCTTTCGTAAATGTGACGCTCCTCGCCCAGATATAACATATACATTAGCGGTATATAGTATAGTAGGTGTTCTTTGTGGTCTTTTTGATCCAACATGCAGATGTAGTTCCTCAGTGAGGGATGCAGACAAGTCGTGTGTGCATGGACAGGTGTCTGCAAGGCCTACACAGAGGCACCTAAGGGCATCATAACATTCAGTTCTGCTTAAATTGGGGGTGACTCAGCAAATCAGGTTGCTGTGCCGTGATCAGAAGGTCGCTGGTTCAAATCCTGTGGTCGACAGAGCCATGTCACCGTTGGATCCAAGAGCAATGGCATTAATCCCTAACTGCTCCAGGAACTGTGTGACCCTGCTTTCTCAAAAAATGTGCATCACTGTCACGATCCGCTCCGTTCAATCCCGATGTGTGCCACGCCCCCCTCATTACTTCGTGTGAATACCCGATTGTGATCACCTGTGTCCTGTTATGTCTGGCTAGTCTTTTGTATTTAGTTCGTGTCTCAGTTAGTTTCCCCAGATCCGTCATTGTATTGTCAGTGTAGTGTCTGTGGATGTTGCCGCCTGTTTACCCTCCATCTCGATTAAAACCCTGTTTGCCCGACTTCACGGCTTCGCTCGCCTGCTTTCCGGCTCGCCCGCCCCGCACCCTGACAGAATGACGGATCTCCCCAACGCACCTCCGCAGATCGATGACCAACGCATCGATCTGCTCCTCGAGGTGCTCTACTGGCTTCATCAGCCGGAGGTCCGGGAGGACTCCGGATTGCTGGAGTTAGCCAGCAAGAGCGGGACCCTCCTGGATGAGATCACCCCGCTCACAGCAGTACGCGTACTGGCGGTAGTGTGCGAAAACCTCTGGCTGCTCGTCGATGGGGTGACGGAGAAGCGGCTCCGGCCGCTCGTTCTCTCCGGGGCAACCCCGTCACAACCACCCAGCCAAAGCCGGAGAAAGAAGAGGCACAAGGGGAAAGGACTGGAGGAGACCTCGACCGTCTCCCTGGGGGCTTGCTTTCTCCGTTATGCCTCTCTCCCCGCTGAATGTCGGGAGGAGCCCCTCCCGATACAGAAGCCAGCGGGGATCACAGCAACCGCGCAGCCACTGTCACCAGCAGCCTGCATATTCCAGGGGGGTCACCTGGAATATGAGGGGATCAGGGCCGTCTGGGATGCGATTCCCCGGATCCCCAAGGCCCTTAAAGGGGCAGCACCTGTACGTCCGGCGCCGATCCTGGCGCCTATCGCGGACCTGCCTGCTCCGGACTTGCCAGCAGCACCAGCTACTACTGCCGCAGCATTGCCCGCGGCACCACCTGCTGCAGCTTCCGCCGCTCTGCCCGCGGCACCGCCTGCTGCAGCTTCCGCCGCTCTGCCCGCGGCACCGCCTGCTGCAGCTTCCGCCGCTCTGCCCGCGGCACCGCCTGCTGCTGCTGACGCCGCTCTGCCCGCGGCACCGCCTGCTGCTGCTGCCGCACTGCCCGCGGCGACGCCTGCCCAGCCTGACCCGCCTGTCCAGCCTGTCCCGCCTGTCCTGCCTGCGGTCCCTGCAGCTGACTCCGCTCTGCTCATGGCACCGCCTGCTGCCGCCGCTGCCCGCAGCAATCCCTGCTGCAGCTGCCGTCGCCGCTCTGCCTGAGGACACTGCTCTGCATGCGGCCACGCCCCCTGCTGGCTGCAAACCCGAGGTTCCCGCAGAGGCGCCCCCTGCTGACTGCACGCCCAAAGCGCCCTCCGAGGCGCCCCCTGCTGGCCGCGTGATGGCGATGCCCGCCGAGGCGCCCCCTGCTGGCCAGGAACTGAGGGTGCCCGCTGCAGCTCCGCCCGAGGTGCCCCCTGTTGGCCACGTAATGGCGGCGCCCGCCGAGGTGCCCCCTGCTGGCCGCACACCTCAGGCACCTGCGGAGGCGCCCCCTGTTGGCTGCACGTCTTCTCTGCCCGAAGCCCTACCTGAGGCCGCCGCTCCTGTCCTGCCCGCGGCCCTGCCCGCGGCCCTGCCTGAGGCCGCCACTCCCGTCCTGCCCGCGGCCCTGCCTGAGGCCGCCTNCCCGTCATGCCCGCGGCCCTGCCTGAGGCCGCCCCTCCAGTCCTGCCCGCGGCCCTGCCTGAGGCCGCCTCTCCCGTCCTGCCCGGGGCCCTGCCTGAGGCCGCCTCTCCCGTCCTGCCCGCGGCCCTGCCTGAGGCCGCCTCCCCCGTCCTGCCCGCAGCTCTGGCTGCCCCGCCTGTGGCCACGCCCGCGGCTCTGGCTGCCCCGCCTGCGGCCACGCCCGCGGCTCTGGCTGCCCCGCCTGCGGCCACGCCCACGGCTCCGGCTGTCTTGCCTGTTGCCTCTTTAGAGGCCCTGACTTCTGTCCGCCCAGCACCGACCTCCCTCATGACTCCCTCGCCCTTGCCCCGACAAGGCCGACACCCCCCGGGACCCCGCCTTTCAGTGTCCCGTAAGGGACGGGGACATAGGCGTCGGGCCCGGGTCCCGCCCGCCCTGCCCCCTGGCTCGCCCGTTCGGCCCCTGGCTGTGGCTCGGTGGCTGCCTGCGGGTCCTCCGGCTCGGGGTCGGCGGTCCCCTCCGGGTCCCCCCCTGGTTCCTCGGTGCCGGTCCTCGGTCCCAATCGCTTTGGATGAATGTATCCTGAATTAAGGTAATGTCAATATCCCTGCAAATGCAACAAACTGAAGGGATGCACTAGCAGTCGAGTTAAGTGGTGTAAATTAAGGCTTTGCTTTCCTGTTTATCTGAACACCTCTGCCGGCCCCTGGACGATGGGCCCATCCTCGGAGTCTGGTTCCCCTCCAGGCTTCTTCCTTCTAGGGAGTTTGCCACTGTCACCTCTGGTTGTTCAGTGGGGGCTTTGGGCGGGGGTAATGTAAAGCACCTTGAGACAATGTAATGTTGTGAAAATGCACTATACAAATAAAATTGAATTGAACTGAATTAAAGTGGTAGATGCCTGGCACTTGCAGATAACTTCCCAGGTTATAGATTCAATGGAAGAGAAAGTAACTGGGGGAATACAACACAAAAGAACCCTACTTCCTAATCACCGATTTAAGAGTAACATCTTACAAAGCAGGAGTACTGGTCCCACGACCCTTACCATGATACGCTACATGGACAAAAGTATTGGTACACCCATCCAATTTTACATTCATAGACATCATTATGGAGTTGGTTCCCCCTTTGCAGCTATAACAGCTGCCACTCTTCTGGGGAGACTTTCCACAAGAGTTTGAAGTGTATCTGTGGGAATGTTTGCCCATTAATCCAGAAGAGCATTTGTGAGGTCAGCATTTGTGATGTTGGACCTGAAGGTCTGGCTTGCAATCTCCAAAGTTGTTTGATGGAGTTGATGTCAGGCTCTGTGTGGGCCAGTCAAGTTCTTCCACACCAAACTCACCCAACCATGTCTATATGAACCCTGCTTTGTGCACTGGGGCACAGTCATGCTGTAACAGAAAAGGACCTTCCCCAAACTGTTCCGACAAAGTTGGATGCAAAGAATTGTCTAAAATGTCTTGGTATGCTGCAGCATTAAGAGTTCCCTTCACTGCAACTAAGGAGCCAAGCCCAACTCCTGAAAAACAACCCCACACCATAATCCCTCCTCGACCAAACTTTACAGTTGGCACAATGCAGTCAGGCAGGAAACGTTCTCTTGACGTATACTGTACCAAACCCAGACTCATCCATCAGACTGCCAGACAGAAAAGTGTCATTCATCACTCCACAGAACATGTTTCCACTGCTCCAGAGTACAGTGATGGCGTGCTTTACACCGCTCCATCTGACTCTTGGCATTGCGCTTGGTGATGTGAGGCTTGCATGCAGCTGCACTGCCATGGAAGCCCATTCCATGAAACACCTGACACACAGTTTTCATGCTGGACTTAACGCCAGAGGATGTGTTAGTAACACGCTTGAATTCACTGAGCTCTTCGGAACAACCAGTTTTTTCACAAATGTTTGTA